CAGCTGCGTTTTCAGAGATATTAATAATACAGTTATGCCTCATTAATCATTGTTCGTTAAACTGTACACATTCATAAAATGATTTATTATTAATTACTTTAAGGTGTTCATGAAATAATACTCCGTAATCACTCCGTAACGACTGATGAATGCTTTATTTTATGTTTTTTTTATTTGAATTTCTCAATTGAAATTTTATCTAAGTAATTGTCATAAAGTATAAAGTTTTAATTGTAATCATTATGAAACGATAAATTCAAATGGTTTTCAATATGTGGTATTTCCAAAATGTTTTCACACAAACAAATGAATAAAAGTATGCGTTCAAGGGTAATGAGACATTGAAAGTACATCATAAAATATTTATTTGCTTCTCAATTGCTCAGTAATGCAGTTACTTGTCCCSAAAACCTTGCTTAAAGACGACTTTGCAGTTATATCTTGAACAACTTGAGATTTTAAACCATGTCAGAGCATACTAGAAGTTAATCACTTTTTAGGGGCGATCCATTTAGACTTTTGAGGGGGTGATGGAAGATCTAGTCAGGAATTTTTTTTTCGACTTCAGGCGCGCGCTTTCAATATTTTTTGTAAATTTACAAAAGCGTTAGTTAAGATTTTTCAAAAGTCTAATGGATCACCCTTTAGCATTGAGAAGTAGACCACACCAAATATGGAAAGCCGATCGGATAGTTCCGCTGTCATTTCTAAATAAAATAACGAAAGTGCTAAAAATAAGTTACATGTCTCAAACAAGTTCCTGCTAGAGAAGATACGCTAGTAGATGTATTATATTTTAGGATATCCACGTTGTTTTTGGTAAGTTTATCAAKATATGTATAGTACTATATACTTTATTATTCTCAAAATATGAGCTAATTAAACAAACAAAACATTTCTAAAAAAAATACAATACCAGTCAAAGAAGCACCCACTCACGAAGCACTTAACAGATTAAACATGTATTTGCCATAGCTCAAATAGCTAAGCAGCTAGCCAAAACATAACCTGGTCCAAAACAAATTCTAAGCATAARTATATTTCCTGTAGCAGGACTAACTGTTTTGAAGTCGATTCACATTGCCTATGCATAGATAGCATATCTATTCTCTCAGATATCTCAAGCAAAGACCATAAGCTTGTCAATCTATTAGCACCCAACTCTGAATGCAGAAAATTAAGAAGTAATAAGATATTTGACACTGAATGCGATATACAAAAACGATCGCTATAACATATCCTTTACCACTAGTCATCTTTACTGAACTTCCACTTTCTATTTATATAATGTTGATTTATTCTATTTTTTGTCTATTGTATTAATTCGTCTATTGTATTACTTCTTAATAAACGCTATATCTATATCCATCTATCATCACAATATATATGTGACTCCATCCAATATTAACAAACGTTTGAATTTACCAAAGGGACGAACTATTTAATCATTCATCATCATCGGCTGGAAATCCCGAAGACTAGAACTTGTGTTACAATGTTTCGTTGTGGTGTATTTGTGGTTGCTATTTTAGCTTCARCTGTAATTGTTTCAGGTAAGTTAAAAAAACATTGTCAGAGCTAGAAGTGGAGTTTGAACGCACATTACGCGGTCAACGGAAACRCTGATTTTATAAAAATATAATACTCATTCCTTTTATTATTCACGTTATCTTTCTGAATTATCAGCTCGTTGGCTGCAGCCATCAAATGATGCGATATTTGAAGAGCTCCTCGCCAATAAAATCAAAGGTTTGTTTATGATATATCACCAGTTGTCTCGATGGACAGACCAAAAATTAAGTGAAAAATGAATGATATATTGAAGGCTGCAATGGCGCGCAATTTAATTTGCTGTCGCCTGTGTTCAAGATGGAGTATGATCTTATATTTTTACATATTAATGACATTTCTCTCTCTCCCCTCTCTTCTTTCTTTCTCCCTCCTCCCCCCTCTCCAACGTCTTTCCATTCTTCGATACGATTGATACAAGGTTGGTAGTACAATGTACACTTAAGTTCCGAATAATCGTACATATATACGCTTATTTATTGTGGCAAAATATACGACCTTATTCGGGATTGTACGATTATTAATTTTCACTTTTTTTCTCTGTGTTCTTACCTTAATTAGTTATTAACAAAATCGTTCTGAAAAAGTCGCACAAAAGACGGACATTTTGTCTCCAAGATGAAAACAAAAAGACGATGCGAACAGCAAACTAGGACCGCAAATCATCTGGTCAGCGGATTTGATCGCAACGGAGACTGGGGACAAGTCCTTGAAATTTTGTTTTTCCACTCTATACTATTATTCCATCCTATACTATCATTGGTTAATTTGGATTTTTCCACTGTAAACTATTATTATGCTCTATATGATTATTCGGACCTTAAGAATAAAAGATACAAGTCACGAGGGGACTCGAACACTACCGTCAGAACGAAGCTTGTAATTGATCGAGACAACAAAAACAAAGGCGGATTGTAAGATTGTGTCAGACAATGCCTATTGTTCTACTTGACCGGCATCTTTGTTTTTTGTATTGCCTATCTTTATTATTCAAAAATGAAAGTTTCATCAAATCACAGTCTTTGTTCTAACAGTAGTGTACACGCCTAGGAGGGGAAGTTAAAGAAATAGGAGAAGAGAGCACTTTACATGTGCAATTTCGGTTCGTTTGCGACATTCGGTTTAACACCTTTTCCCTTTTCTTGCAGTTTCGTTTGTTTAATTATATTTAAACGTGAGAACTGGTGCATTTTCACTTGTGTCGCCCCGCGCTAAGCTTAACTCTAACTTATTCGTTAACAGAAAACGAGCAAAGAGACGGTAGCGTCCATGGTCACATTGTTGCTGTCAATGAAGCTTCTAATTGGAAGAGTAAGAAAGGAATCAATGGAGACATTGCGCTGACCGAAGAGATTGAGGCTGCTAACGAAGGTAAAGCCTGGTTTTCACTAGGACATGAGCATAGACATAAGCCGAGAACAAACGAAAAGTCAAAGGAATTGAAGTCAAGCATGCGGATTAAGGCATCAAATTAGCTTAGCAATAATCATAGCTAATTAAAGAGTAAATAATGAAAACCACCTTCGCTTCACATTGCCTATTGAAGAATTTTTCCACATAACATTAATCAACAGTAATTATTCTTTCCTTAGCTGCGAATCTTGACCTGTTCGAAGGTGATATATTACCAGGCAACAATCCTCAGGACGAGAGCGAATTTGAGGCCGGCAAGCGCAACATCGTGAAAGCAAGTTCAAAGATCTGGCCAAGTAGTGGCGTTCCTTATTACGTCTCCCCTGATTTGGGTAAATATGCTGTTGTGTGATCAAACATTTTTCGTTTGCCTAGGGCTATAACTGTTTGGAAGGAAGGCCATTAATGTCCCCATTCAAGCAAGATTTCACTAATTAGTGTTACCTTCCCTAATTTGTAAATAACATGAATGTAAAAAAAAACAAAAGGGCTAAATTTGTGTTACGTTCCTTATATGTAAATTACCTGGGAATTGGTGTATATTATGTTAAAAAAGCGAGAATTATCTGTCTTTTAATTATTATCTGT